TTCCTCAAAAAATTAAAAATAGAACTACCCTACTACCTAGCAATTGCAGTACTAGGTATTTATCCAAAGGATCCAAAAATGCTGATTCGAAGGGTCACATGCACCCCAATGTTTATAGTAGCACTATCAACAGTAGTCAAATCATGGGGCGCCTGGGTGGCTTAGTTGGTTAAGCGTCCGACTTTCGCTTCGGTCATGATCTCGCGGTTCGTGGGTTCGAGCTCCGCGTCGGGCTCTGTGCTGACTGCCAGCTCAGAGCCTGGAGCCTGTTTCAGTCTGTGACTCCCTCTCTCTCTGACCCTCCCCTGCTCACGCTGTCTCTCTCTCTCTCTCCTAGAAATAAATAAAAATATTTAAAAAAAAAAACAGTAGTCAAATCATGGAAAGAGCCCCAATGTCCATCAACTGATGAATGGATAAAGAGGATACGTTTTATATATATATATATATAATGGAATACTACTGAGTGATCAAAAAGAACGAAATCTTGCCATTTACAACAATGTGAATGGAACTAGAGTGTATTATACTGAGTGAAATAAGTCAGAGAAAAGTAATATCATATTTCACCCATATGAGGAATTTCAGAAACTCAACAGATGAACATAGGGGAAGGTAGGGAAAATAAGAAAAACAGAGGGAAGCAAAACATAAGAAACTCTTAAATACAGAGAACAAACAGGTTTGGAGCGGTGTTGGGTAGGAGATGGGCAAAATAGGGGATAGGCATTAAGGAGAGCACTTGTGATGAGTACTTGGTGTTATATATAAGTGATGAATCACGAATTTCTACCCCTGAAATTATTACACTGAATGTTAACTAACTTGGATTTAAATTAAAAAATAAGTAAATATAAATAAATAAACTGGGCTTCTTGGGGCACCTGGGTGGCTTAGTTGGTTAAGTGTCCGACTTTGGCTCAGGTCATGATCTTGCGGTTTGTGGGTTTGAGCCCAGCATCGGGTTCTGTGCTGACAGCTCAGCCTGGAGCTGTTTCAGATCCTATGTCTCCCTCTCTCTCCACCCCTCCCCCACTCGCGCTCTGTCTCTGTCTCAAAAGTAAATAAACATTTTTAAAAAATAAATAAACTGAGTTTCTTAAAGGCAACATATACATGGGCCTGTTTTTCTTTAAAGACCTCTTTTTTAAGTTTACTTATTTTGAGAGAGAGAGAGTGTGCAGAGGTGTGAGTGGGGGAGGGGCAGAGAGAGAGAAGTAAAGAGAGAATTCCAAACAGGCTCTACACTTTCAGTGCAGAGCCAAAACCACGGCTTGATCCTATGAACCATAAGATCATGAACTGAGCTGAAACTGAGTCTCTGCTTAACTGACTGAAGCCACCCAGGCATCCTGGTCTTGTTTTTTTTTTTTTTAATCCATTCAAGCCATTTTATGTCTTTTGACTTGAGACCTTAGTCCATTTACATTTAAAGTAATTATAGGTGTATTTACGGCCATTTTGTTTCCTAGCTATTTTTGTAATTCCTCTTTGTTTGTTTCTTGTTCTCTTGCTCTTTACTTTCAGGTTTGATGACATACTTCAGCGGTATGCTTATATTCCTTTCTCTTTATCTTTTGTATATTTAGGTTTTTGTTTTGTGGTTACAAAGAGACATATAACAACATATCTATAATGGTCTATTTTAAGTTGATAATATCTTTAAAAATTTTTTTTAATATTTATTTTTGAGAGAGAAAGAGAGACAGAGCACAATCAGGAAAGAGGCAGAGAGAGAGGGACAAAGAATACTAAGCAGGCTCCAGGCTCTGAGCTGTCAGTAAAGCCTGACGTGGGGCTTGAACTCATGAACCATGAGATTCATGACCTGAGCCCAAGTTGGACACTTAACCAACTGAGCACCCAGTCATCCCATTAAGTTGTTAACGTATTTTAAACTTGATCCCACTGTAATACTCAACATTACTACTCCCCCAGTGATGTTTTATGTTTTTGATGTCATGTTTTACATCTTTTCATCTTACGTATCCCTCAACTAATTATCACAATTATGGTTATTTTCACTACTTTTGTCTTCTAACTTTCATACTAGCTTTATACTCAATTAATATACTACCTTTACTATTTACCTTTCAGTGAGATTTCATCTCTCATGTGTGTTCCTGCTACTAATTAGCACCCTTTCTATTCAGGTAAAAGAAGTCACTTTAACATATCTTTAAGGCAAGTTTGGCGGTGATGAACTTTAGCTTTTGCTGGTCTGGAAAATTCTTTCTCTCTCCTTCACTCCTGAATGATAGCTTTGTCAGGTAGAGAATTTTTGGTTTGTAGGTTTTTTTCTTTCAGTACTTCAAATATATCATGCCATTCCCTCTGCCCTGTAAACTGTTGCTGAAAGGTCTGCTGATAATCTTATGGGGAGCCTCCTATATGTAACAAGCTGTTTTTGTCTTACCCCTTTTAATATTCTCTCCTTGTCTTTTACTTTTAATATTTTAATTATAATGTATCTTCGGTGTGGATTACTTTAGGTTCCTCTTATTTGGAACTCTCTGGGCTTCCAGGACTTGGATATCTGTTTCCTTACCCAGGTTTTTAGCCATTATTTCCTCAAGTAAGATTTCTGCCCTCCTTTCTCTCTTCTTCTGGGATTCCTATGATACAAATGTTGGGGTGCTTGATATTGTCCCATAAATACCTTAAACTATCTTCACTTTTTTTTCCCCATGTTTTTTCTTTTTGCTACTCTGATTGGGTAAGTGCCACTGCCTTGTCTTTGTGTTCACTGCTCATTTCTGCTTCATCTAGGCTGATGTTGAATACCTTTGGGGGTATTTTTCAGTTCATTTATTGTTTTCTTCAGCTCTATGGCTTCTATTTAGTATTTTCTTATATTTTCCATCTCCTGTTGAAATTCTGAGGATCTTTATAACCATCACTCTGAACTCTTTATCAGGTAAGTTACTTATCTCTGTCTCATTAAGGTTTTTTCCTGAGATTTTATCTTGTTCTTTCATTTGGAACATATTCCTATTTCTCCATATTGCTTTCTATACAGTAAACGGAACAGTTAATCAGGACTTCCGGAGGAGAGCTTTTACACACATCTGGTGCCCCAATTTTTGCATCTGCCACCTAGGAAACACCTCTTGATCACCTGACCTGAAGGCCAAGGGAGCCTGTATTCTTGGTCCTGATTTTTTATTTGAGAGAGATAGAGCATAAGCAGAGAAGGGGACAGAAGGAGAGAAAGAGAATCTCAAGCAGGCTCTACACTCAGTGCTGAGCCTGACACAGGGCTTGATCCCATGACCCTGCAGTCATGACCTAAGCTGAAATCAAGGGTTGGATGCTTAACTGACTGAACCACCTAGGTACCCTAAGCCTCCTTCACTTTAAGTTAACGTGATCAGCTGCCTCTGACCTGGGCTCTGGGGCAGGTGAGTCCAAGCACACAGCCCTTTAAGAGCAGTTTTTCAGGGCACCTGAGTGGCTCAGTTGGTTAAGCTGCAGACTTTGGCTAAGGTCATGATCTCACTTTTTGTTGAGTTTGAGTCCCACAAGGGTGAGCTCAAGCCCTGCATTGGATGAGATTGAGCCCTGCTTCTCTCTCTCTGACCCTCATGGGACTCCCCCCGCCCCTTGCTCACTTGAGCTCTTCTCTCTCAAAAAAAAGTTTTTCGGACTGCTTCAGTATCATAGGTCTTGGGATATGAGAGACATGCTGATTTTTTTTTTTAATGTTTCATTTACTTCTGAGAGAGAGAGAGAGAGAGACAGAGCGTGAGCAGGGGAGGGTCAGAGAGAGACGGAGACACAGAATCCGAAGACAGGCTCCAGGCTCTGAGCTGGCTGTCAGCAGAGCCCAACGCGGGGCTTGAACCCACAAACCGTGAGATCATGACCTGAGCCGAAGTTGGATGCTTAACCAACTGAGCCACCCAGGCGTCCCGACATGCTGATTTTTAAAGTTAGATATTTGGGGGACTCATCTCTCATTAATGTCTTAAAAGTTGAGATGCCCACTGTGGGGTTCAAAATCTTCACTTTTTAGGGAGAAACTATGCGTTTTAAGTTCTCTTATGGTTGTGGGTCATCACACCAGGGATGTGGTTTATAGCAACATTGTGTTTCAGCCTCTTCTACCTTCTTCAGTGTGTTTTTCTTATTCTTTGTCTAATGTATAGTTGTCATTCAGCAAGACTTTGTTTTTTAAAGAGGAAATCGTTCCATATGTAGTTTTAGACTCAGTGTGTCCACGAGAAAAGGTAAGTTCAAGATCTTCTGATGTTACTATCTTGAAGCAGAACCTCAATAATTTTTCTTCTAAATTTTTTTTTAAATAATTATTTTGAGAGAGCGTAAGGAAGGGGCAGACAAAGAGGGAGACAGAGAATCCCAAGTAGGCTCTGCACAAGTACTGCAGAGCCTGATGTGAGGTTTGAACTCATGAACCGTGAGATTATGAACTGAGCTGAAACCAAGAGTCAGATGCTTAACCAACTGAGCCACCCAGGCGCCCATACTCAACGTGGGGCTTCAACTCACAACCTTGAGATCAAGAGCCACATGGCCTACCAGCTGAGCTAGCCAGGCACCCCATAATAATTTCTTAATATCATCAAATATCCAGTGAATGTTTATGTAGTCCCTATTGTTTGACAAATGTCCTTTTTCACTACTTTGTCAAATCAGGATCCAAATAAGGTCCATCCATTGCAACACGTTGTTACATCTCTTAAATCTGTTTTAATCTGTATACTGTTTTTATTTTTGACAGTTATGTATTTAAAGTGCATTTAGCACATACCATATTCACTAATTTCGTATCCATTAACTACTGCTTAAAATAGAGCTAAGGTAGGTATTTAAGCTAAAAAATGAGTTTAAGAAAAAAATATTAAGTAAATAAGAGTACTGGTAGATGTGACAAATCATCAGTGTGGTCATTAATGGAGACTGTAAAACATCACTTAAAAATATTATCAATATTTTTAAAAGAGCTATTTCTAAAACATACAAAGTCTGAATACACCTACTTTTACAAAGGTCAAGAAAGAGTTCCTCAATTCCTTTGTTCTGTTTGGCTGAAGTGTGATAATGTTTTGCTCCCACAGATTCTGCATACCTTAAAAAAATAAAAAGAGTAACATCAGTGATTGATAGAAAAAAATTTTCATTTTTGTCATGTTTTAAGTAGCAATTTTAGTGACTTATTACTAATTAACCCACACTGGGTTAAATCAAGATACACCGAACCAAATTTTAATTAAGAACTTGAGAATAACAACACTTGAAATTTTTGAGTTAATTTGGAACCCAAATACAAGTCTTTGTGATTCACTATTTGATTATGATAGCTTTCTTTTGCATCACTCTTTATATTTTTTACTGAGATCAAAAAGAGAAGTGAGAATGGAGTATCTTTAAATGTCAAAAGTCCAGAAATTACCAACATAAACATGCTTCACTGATTCCAATAGCTCATTTTAGATTAAGAGGTTTCAGTAGTACATAAATGGTAAAGAACACTGTGCAAAGAGAAGGACTGCTACCAGGGAGTGACAGGAGGGAGGGAGAAAGGGAGACCACTTACGATTCTGCTTCTTGAATGGAAACATGTCTCTCCTTTTCCAAGTCTATTTTATTACCTAGTTTGAAAAAGATACCAATTCTTAATATTGATTCATTTTTACAATACAACGAAGCCAATTCTAAATACACAATTGCCATTCTAATACTTGGAAAAAAAAACACAAATCCCCATCAAACTTCTACACATCCTGAAACTATAAAGTTAAACCCTATGATATAAGGGTAGATCATGTCTGTCAAGGTAAATGCCTCAACCTCCTTCAAGTGGCTCAATGCAAATCCCTCCTGAAGGTGCCATCTCTGTCAGAGAAATTAACTTTTCCAAAGAGATGGGCACTAGTCTTTGATTTAGGATATAACAGAGACAACCTTCACTTGGGAACCTAGGGATAAACCTATGATTCTTAGCCAAGTGTAAATGGTCCCCAATCAACATAGAAGCAGTGAATAATTGAGCAAGGCTATCTTACTATTCATGAAAGACATTAGGCTAGTGTAAGGGTACTTGGTATTATGGCTCTTTAAGCATTTCATTACCACAGGAGAGGAAACTGTTTAACAACTTGAGAGAGCTTAATATATGCATATCATGTGAATTTAAAATTACTGAAAATAAGTTTAACTCTCCTTAAACAATGGGTCAAAACTGAGATTATGTGGGGCGCCTGGGTGGCTCAGTCAGTTAAGCGTCCGACTTCGGCTCAGGTCATGATCTCATGGTTCGTGGGTTCGAGCCCCACGTTGGGCTCTGTGCTGACAGCTAGCCCAGAGCCTGGAGGCTGTTTCAGATTCTGTGTCTCCCTCTCTCTCTCTGACCCTCCCCTGTTCATGCTGTCTCTCTCAGAAATAAAAACATTAAAAACAAAACAAAACTGAGATTATGCTAAAAAACCACCATAATAAAAGTGAAGAAACTGCAAAATGCAGATTCCTTATTTAAATACAGGGTAGAGGTTGAGGTGAGTTGGCTGGACAGACAGAATACAAAAGAAAGGATATTTCAAACAAATTTATTTTCATTTCTTCTATTTTGACTCAAGGAGGGAAAAGGGAAGCCTTTGTAAATAACGTCATATTTTCTTGGGACTTTAGAGAATCTAGAAGATGATTTCAGATGAAGCACTGACGTTAGCACCCAATGAAAGATGCAATGCTTACAACTGAAAAGTCCAAGCCCAGAGGTTCTGTATGTGGAGGGCCTCAAATAATCTGAGCACCCAATTGTGGGCAGCTGCTAGTCACTGTCTGACACCACAGCCAAACCATGAGAGGGAAATAGATTATATTAAATCTCAGTGATTACCAACAAATTCTGTAATAAACTGTTCTTTCTTTAGGGATCTGTTTACCTTAGCAAGAAAACCATATTAATTCTGATTTTCCACATTATACTTGTCAATAAAATTTTAAATTTGCTAAATATTACAGCCAATATAGCCAACAGTCAGCAGAAGAAAAACAAAGTGTTTTATGCTATGAAGAATGCAAAAAGCACCACCTAGTGGTCTGTGGTCCCAACACAGGCACAAGATTCTGCCATGAGTCTCGATCAAGGAGACTTTTGTTCCAATTACCTAAAACCCTGGGTTGTTTTTCGCAGTATTTAATGGCTCTGTCTTCAAATTTCACCAGGATTATCAATATCTGTTTTTGAAAAAATGAGGATACAGAAAGTAGATAATTTGAGTACTGCCTCAAATGAATATTTGGGGGAAATTATTCAGACACTGCTGTGATCTAATATTATCTGATGACACTTTAAACTTACCTAACCTTAATAAATCTGGTTATCATTAAAATAGCTACCTTAATAACTTAATCATTTTTTAAACAAAAAATTTTTGTTTACTACTATTTCTTTGAACAATCAGTATTCATAAGGGATTGACAGCACAGATTAAGTGAGAAAAAAAAACTGCATTTTGGTGACTTTTCCAAAACTCAAAACTTTTTAAGTGCCTATAGTTCTTTTAAAAGCAAGACATCTAGGGGGGCCTGGGGGCTCAGTCAGTTGAATGTCTGACTTTGGCTCAGGTCACGATCTCATGGTTCATGAGCTTGTGCCCTGAGTTGGGCTCTGTCCTAACAGCTTAGAGCCTGGATCCTGCTTCAAATTCTGTGTCTCCCTCACTCTCTCTGCCCCTCCCCTGCTCATACTTTGTCTATCTCTCTCTCTCAAAAATAAATAAAAACATTAAAATTTTTTTTAAAAAGCAAGAGATCTAAAGAATTAAGGCTTTGAGGCTCATATCTGTTTCAATATTACTATGCAGCTACATCGGGAACTTTCTAAATAAGCTTGAAACACCTGAAAAAAGATTACCACCAAGTACAGTACTATAAAGATTAGGAAAAATTGGCTGAAGGTATTGAAGAGTAAGATGAAAAGCCACCCTGCTAAGAAGTAAAAACTTGTTATCTTTTTTATAAATACACACTTGAATTAAGATCATGGAAGGGACATACCCATTGCTAAGGGCGGATGGCCTAATGGCAATAAAGAGCTAGAAGCCTGTTTTGCTAAGACTCAATAGTGTGTGGCCTAATCAATCAAAAGAAGCTTTCAAAGGCTTTAAACCTGATAAAACTTGTTTTCTGTCCTGGGTCACTTCATAACTATATAATTTGGGGGACGTGACTAACCTCTCTTAGTATCACTTTGTACAAATGTATCCAACAAACTTAGCACAGTTGATGTGAAAATATATGCAAAAGGCTTAGTATATAGCATACACTTAATAAGGAGCAGTTATTAGTATCAGCCATATTCATCACAGTGAATGATCAAATGGAAAATCAATACTGTTATGAGAAAATTAAAGCCCATGATAGGCAACACACTTTTTACCACCACCCTGCTGGCTTCATCTAGCTTATTTAGTTAATCTAACACTCTAGGAAATCTTCCTTTAATATCCCCACCCCCTCAAATTTAGTTAGGTTTGCTTTTGTGCTACCACAACACTCTGTACTTCCCCTGTCATTGCATTTACTGTAATATATAATAATAGTTTGTTTTTCTCCCTCTTCCTATACATAAGCTCTGGGAAGAAAAGGACATCTATTTTGTTCACTTACTCTTTTCATTTTTATTTAAAAAACTTTTCATGTTTATTTATTTGGGGGGGTGGAGAGAGAGAAGGAGACAGAGTCCAAGTGGGGGAGGGGCAGAGGGAGGCAGACAGAGAATCCAAAGCAGGCTCCAGGCTCTGAGCTGTCAGCACAGAGCCCGCCTCAGGGCTCAAACTCAAAAATCACGAGATCATGACCTGAGCCGAAGTCAGACACTTAACCAACTCAGCCACCCAGATGCTCCTTTCCAATTACTCTTACACTACAATATTCCCAGAGTTGGTACATAGTAAGCAACTTATATAGTGTTGGTTAAGACTATGGGCTTGATGTAGCAGACACACCTAAGTTAAAATCCCAGGTCTACTCTATTTAGCTATGTACTTTAGGAAGTATCAAACTCTTAGCCTACTTCTCATATGTGAAATGGAAATAGCAACGATACCTTCTTGTAGTGTTGCCAGAAGACTTACTGAAATCATAAATGTGTGGTACTTAGAACTTAATAAATGGTAACTATTATTAAAAATAACTATTTGTTTAATAAACACACAAATGTTAAGGACAAACTAGAAGCAAAATACTATCAAGCAAACCAACCACAGCTAAGAATGCTAATCACTGGACTAACTAAAATTGAGAGGAAAAAACCTTTGCTAGCTAAATACGGGATTCTCCATTACTGGTTAACACATTATAAGTGGTTTAGATAAGGACTATTTAATTTACATGAAAAAGCCCATATTGTCAAATATAAAGATTCAGAAACATTGTAAGTTAAAGTTCCTACACTTAGGTTTAAATAACTTAATTACAAAACAACAAGATGGGAAAAGATTGACAGAAGAGCAATACTTATAAAACAGTGATTCAGATTTTTGTTAACTATAATCTATAATCTATGTACGAGAGACACTGAATTGACATGGATGCCAAAAAGTGTATTCAATCTTGGCCAATGTTGGTAGAATGACAATGGAGAATTTTAAAGACAGCCAAGTATATACACTGGCTCAATAATGTCTAGATTCGGGATGCATGGGTGGCTTAGTCAGTTGGGCTTCCAACTTCAGCTCAGGTCATGGTCTTGCAGTTTGTGAGTTTGAGCATCAGGCTCTGTGCTAACAAACAGCTCAGAGTCTGGAGCCTGCTTCAGATTCTATTTCCTTCTCCCCTGCTCAAAAAGAAATAATCGTTAAAAAAAATTTTTTTTAAACAATGTCTAGACTGTAGTATTCAAGTGTAGAAGACACACTTATATATGGAAATAAACCTAGGAAAAAGTAATCAGGACGATGAGAATATCTAAAAGTTCCAAATGAAAAACAAATGAAGACTTAGAGAAGCGAATGAAGACCTTCACTTCAGGTGAACCATACAAATGTTTGAAGGACTGACTGTATTATGTAAAGGAAAAGGAACAAATATTTGTCAAATGCCTTCTCTATGCCAAGTGTTTATTACTGAATTTTCACCACAATCCTAGGAAATAATGTTATTGTTTTTAATTTAGTAATAAAACAGAAAAGAGAAAAAACACTTAACTGCTATAAAAAGTAGAATGAAAATCAATAGGGGATAAAATAATGTAAATGACTACCAATAACAAAAGAAAAATTGTGGAATACTCATAAAGTACTAGAGAGCAGAGAATAAAATGAACTACAACTAAATACAAGAACATAGGGGAATCCTGCAAGCATAATGTAAAGCCCCTCCAAAAAAATCAGATAGAAGAGTTCATACTATATGATTCCATTTATATAAAATTCAAAACAAAGCTAGTCCATGCAGTAAAAAGTCAAGACAGTATCTGGAGGTGGGTGATGGTGATGGGAAGGCACTGGGGTAGTGTTGGGACAAAAAAGAAACAGGTGAGTCCTCTAAGTTACTGTTTAAACAGATACATTAACATTGTGAAATTCTCCTTGTGCAGTAAGTGGGCTCTCAAAATTCTTTCATCACTGATTATAACAAAATTCCATGTCACACATGCCAACAGAAAAGGAGAGGTTTTTATACTTCATACCAATCATTATTAAACATTATATAACATTAAATGAGGATTATCTAACTCTACGAGGGGCAATAAGCTACTAGATCCAATAGTCCTAAACCTTCTTCGAGTATGAATATGAAGAATATACAAATCAAATTATTTCATAAGCTTTATTTATCCAGCTATTTTTTAAAATATTTTTATTTACTTTTGAGAGGGAGACAGAGAGCAAGCAGGGGAGGGGCAGTGAGACAGGGAGACACAGAATCTGAAACAGGCTCCAGGCTCTGAGCTGTCAGTACAGAGCCTGACAAGGGCCTCATAACACCCGAAGCACGAAATCATGACCTGAGCTGAAGTTGGAAGCTTAACTGACTGAGCCACCCAGGTGCCCCTATCCAGTTTTTTGCTTGTTTGTTTGTTTTTTAATGTTACTTAGGGGTGCCTGGGTGGCTCAGTCACTTAAGCATCCGACTCTTGATTTTGGCTCAGGTCAGGACGCCAGGGTCGTGGGATCAAACCCTGTGGGGCCCTGCAGATAGTGGGGAGCCTGCTTGGGATTCTCTCTCTCCTTCTCTTTCTGCCCCCCCCCCCCCCCCGCTGATGCTCACACACTCTCTCTTTCTCAAAATAAATAAATAAAATTAAAAAACATTACTTTGTAACCTTGGTCAAGTCACAAGCTCTGGAGGCTTCTTTGACTTTACGTATATGTTAATCATTTCTTTCCATCTTCTGAGAGATAACCAGAATCTCCAATAATCAAATCTTCTTCAGTCATCCACCTACTGTGGCCACTTCCACTCCCAGTAAGTCCCAGATACTAGACAAAGCCAGGCCAAACTCGGTAATGACTAGCTGCAGCTTTGGCCCAAACTCCCACACAGTCTATTACTCCAGGGTTCCGTTCTGAAATACTCCTGCCATCTAGCCTAACATCTAGCATCTAGACTTAAAAAACAGGCCAGACCATCTCTATGGCCTTTTCCCCTAGACTTGTGCCCTGAACTGGAACTGTAAAGTTTACCAATTTAATGGTGACACAATGTAAGAAATCTAAATTTTAGTTAAAAAAAATTTCTTAAAAAAGCCAAATACACCCAAATCAATCATTCCATTCTAGGTCCTCCACTAAATCCACCCTGGTTTTCCCTAAGCCATTTTTACCCTTCCAGTCATGCAGAAAGGAAGCAAGAAATCAGTATGAGGTTACTCATCATAAGAATTAATAACAAAGCACAGGTATCAGAATGATTTCAATTTGTATCCCATCTCTGATAGCTGCCTGATAATGGACACATTAAATTATCTCCAGGGATCAGCTTCCTCTATAGATCCCTCATAAGGTTATGAGGATTACATGAGATAATATCTACTAAGAGCACAGCATAGTATGTGGTATACTTTCTTGCTCAATAATCAGTTATTAAATCATAGAAATAATAATCTAAAGAAAAAGGGAACCAAAGAGAAATTCCAGAAGTCCCAGAGTGAGTTCTACAGTTCCTTTATTTTTCCTATTAAGAATATTCCTCTAGGGGCGCCTAAGTGGCTCAGTTGGTTAAGCGTCTGACTTTTGCTTAGGTCATGATCTCGCGGTTCGTGGGTTCGAGCCCCGCGTTGGGCTCTGTGCTGACTGCCAGCTCAGAGCCTGGAGCCTATTTCAGAGTCTGTGTCTCCCTCTCTCTCTGACCCTCCCCTGCTCACGCTGTCTCTCTCTCTCTCCTAGAAATAAATAAAAATATTAAAAAATAAAAAAAAATATTCCTCTACACTAATATCATAATCTATTCATATCCTTGGAGTCCAATTTGTTCTTAACTCAAAAATGTGTATAGTTAAATGTATAAAACAAGAATACTTGCTTGAGTCATTAGCTTTAATTTTATTTTAAATTCGTTCCTACATTCTCTTTTTTCTAAAGAAAATCTTACAGTGAAAAACTAAAGACCAAATTGAAGCAAGGCTGGGAGTTGCAGCCTTACATGGTTAGTTTCCCACTTGTTCCCCAAGCCCTTCCCTGAAGTCTGAATCTCCTGAAAGACTACTTCCAAATCCTAACTTATCCTAAAATATTGAATGTTAAAATGTCATTCCTCTTCTTTTCTCACATAACTTTAAAAATGAGAATTACTTATTTGCTTTTCTCTAATAAAACATCAGAAAACAGAGGACATTTTTTTAAAAAGTGATGATGCTTACCAACTATACATAAACAGATTTCATTTCCCAACATTTTCCGTAATTCTTTGACCCAGTTTTTTACCTGTGTGTACAAAAGAGTAAATATTAAAACAATTCCTGTTACAATGACCACTATTACAATACCCCAAACCCCACAATGCCAAAATACCGCAGAATTTGTCTAAGAGCCCATATATTTAGGTGTTTCTAGAAATGATTAACTTAGGATCATACTTTGATGGATCATATTGCAAACTGCACACAAACATCCAATGGAATGATTTATCTCTTTATCTGTATATACTATAGACAGAGACACTTCTAATTATCAATTTTCATAAATCTTGCACAGAGCCAAACCAAGCTATTTACCTGAGCAAAAGCATGTCAACCACCGCCTCTGATAACAGATGCTTGCAGAGTCACTTTGAACTTAAAAATATCAAGCTTAAAATTAAAAGTCTTTATTGGTTGGGGTGCCTATGTGGCTCAGTCAGTTAAGTGTCTGACCCTTGATTTCAGTTCAGGTCATGACCTCACGATTCCCGAGTTCAAGCCCCACGTCAGGCTCTGTGTTGGCAGTGTGGAGCCTGCTTGGGATTCCTTCTCTCTCTTTCTGCCCCTCCCTTGCTCATGCATTTTCTCTCTCTCTCTCTCAAAATAAATAAATAAACACTTTAAAATTTTTTTTAAAAAGTCTTCATTGGTTCCAAATTAGAGGGCATAGAAGTTTCTGTATCATACACTTAAAGGGGTGAAAAATGTAAACGGACACCAAGAGTGGCAAAATAAATTTTCATCCTTTAGTGTATGACAGTATTTTTCAACTTCAGCAATACTGATATTTTGGCTCAGATTCTTTGTTGTGAGGGACTATTCTGTGCAATGTATGGTATTTAGCAGTATCCCTGGCTTCCTATCCACTAGATATCATTCAGTACTATCCTCCAGCTGTGACAACCAAAGATGTCTCCAGTCATTGTCACCTCCTGGTGGAAACCACTGGTGTACAAAGACTCCAGTAACAAACACATTTTTCACTCTGAATGAAGCACAGCAGTAGGCGCAGTTGAGAGTAAATTCAAATTAAGTAAATTAATCTTTTGAACTCACGATTTTAAATATATTGATTATAATAAAATAGGAAAAAGAACAAACTTGAATACCTCCTTTCATTTTTTGTAATGCAATTTAATTTGTAAGTAATCAAATCACACAGAACTGATATACCTTCCTAAAAAAAAATACACACACTTCTTTAAATTATAAAAATTACATTAAATACGTGGTAAGTAAGCACTTACTGTGCTTCTATTCCTACAAATGTAACAGTTCCATACTCCTGCTCTCTGCAAGAATGCAGCGGAAATATCTTTAATAAACCCTATACCTTTAAAAAAGCAAAGGTATCAAGATCATCACCTTATCTTTCTCTTAGCACTGAACCATAGTTTTCTCAGTACAGCCCCATTTTTACATCATTCACATTTGTATAAAGTTTTCAGAGAAGCACTGAACTTCCATCCCTAGCCGATTTCATATAAGAAAAATCTGACAATATAAATATACAATGTACATCCCCATAATTTCAAAGGAACCATGCCAGAATCCAATTATGTACTACTTTACTCCTTCTATAGATAATATCACAACCTACTAAATCTAACCAATTTTTAAAAAGAATTGTTACTCATCTGCAATTAGTTCTCCTTCTGCAGGAATCCTATTTATTACCCCAATACTTTCTATGGTGAGTTAGAAATGGTCACAAATTCTTTATCCTCTTATCAAGAGGTAGATTCTATTTCCCTTCCCTGTAAAGCAGGGCTAGCCTTGTAACTTGCTTTGACCAAGAGAATATGGCAGAAGTAATGCTATGCCAGCTTCAGACTTAAGCCTTAAGAGGGCCTGGCAGCTACTCTTGGGATCCACTTGTTACATAAGCAGCTTAGGCTAAAATATGGAATAGTGAGAGAGCATGTGGAGAGAGCATTGGAGGATAAGAAAACAGATGGAGTGAACGGCCATATGGAGGAGAACAGGCCTTCCTGGATGGTCCTGACCCAGCCAAACTCCAAGTTCAATGTAGCTGCACGAGTGACACCACATGACCTGCCTAGTCAACCCACAAAATCACAAGATTAATACATCATTGTTTTAAACCACCAAGCTTTGGGGGTTTTGTGATGTAGCAAGAGATAACTGATCACTTTTCAACTTAAAAGACTCAAACTTTTCTTAATAAAACACTCAAACCATTTCTACTTATGCCAAAAGGTAGGAAGGGATAACAAATAGCAGCCTCAAAATAAAATTTTCAAGAATCATTAAACCCACAAGTTACTTATCATGTCATTTTTCTATTCCTGGAACTAAATTTTTCCACATGTAATAATCCAAAGACTGACACACACACACATATACACATACTTGAATCTGTAACAGCAAGTAATTTCAACAGGAACAAACCTGAAAGTTAAGGTAGGAAAACATTCTGCCTTGGAAATCACCCCTTTTAGTTCACACCCCTGAATATTTATTCTAAGAGGGGCTTTCAGAGGACGGTTCAAATAAACAATTAGTCACCATCCTGACTGATGATAATTCAGAGGTAAATTTAATGGTAACTTATTTTTGGTCCAAACAACTTCAAAAACTCTACATTTGTGGTGTATGTTTAAAAGAGGGGTAAAAAAAATGAAAAAACTTTAAAATAAACACTACCTAGACTGTCATTTCAAACTTATATCCTCCAGGACATTTAGTGAGAAAAAAGAGCTTAATTCAATTTAGTTCTTCTTTATCATCTTTCTTTTAAAAATTTATTTATTGTTTTATTTTTATTTTTGAGAAATACAGAGTGCAATATTTTTTAAAGGTGATTTAATGTTTACTTATTTTTGAGAGAGTGAGACACAGCAAGAGTTAAGTAGGGACAGAAAGAGAGATGGAAACATAAAATGTGAAAAAAGCTCCAGGCTCCAAGCTGTTAGCAGAGTCTGACATGGGGCTCAAACTCAGGAATGGCAAGATCATGACCTGAGCCAAAGTCAGTTGCTTAACCAACTCAGCCACCCAGGCGCCCTCTTCTTTTTCACTTTTACAATTAGATAGCCCGTGCAAGCATACCAAGTATATGGAATCAAGAAATAGATGTGATTTTTCTTTAACAAGGAGAAAAACAGCACTTCAATTTTTCTGGCTTTATTTCAAATTATTTCCCTCTCCTAATATCTGAGAAAGCCATGTAATAAAACTATTAATAACTGTTATTCAAAATGTAAACATGAATTAAATACTGCATTAAGAAATATGAGTGGTAATCATTTATGTACAAACTATATTTTACTTTTAAAACCAAGACTCCTCACGTTAGTAAACAAAGGCATGTGAATGGAGACTTGAAAAATCAGTGTTGTTCTTCTATTTAAGTCATCTGCCCATAAGTAAATAGAATACCTTCTGAAAGGAATCTTCATCTGTTATATCATAAACTAAAATAGCTCCATTTGAATCTCTGTAGTAAATTGGACCCAATGCATGGAATCTCTCTTGACCTGCTGTGTCCTAAATAAAGCAACAAATACTTATTAGATCAGAAAAAAAATAAATCTGCTATTGCAACTATAGTAAACTTTTAATTAATTGGAAAGTGGTGAAGTTACAGATAATCTCAAAGCACTGTTAAAAGAAAAAAGAACAGGTTACAAAAATTTTTTAGAAGTTATAACCAACAATGTTTTACCATTATACAAAGGTTACTTCTTCACTTCCAACCCTCTTACTCCTCAGCAATCTTCCCACCCCCACTAAAAAAACAAAACAAAACAGTTTAATTGACAGACAATCAGAATGCCCAAATGGCATTATAAGCCATTATAAGCCAGGGATAAGGCCTTGCCCTAAACTTAGGTTTCCCACAAAGGGAGAAGACAAGGAAAGGGAGTGTGCACCAGAACCATGGGCCAAAAGGTACTCTGATGAACTACCCTCACCCTACTCTCTCCTAGGCACTCCCCTGGAAAACTGGAACAGGGAAACACAGAGGGAAAGTAGGACAGTCAGGCTGTTCACCCACCCTGTTCTTTCTCTGATATGGAATCCCTCTGAGTCTACTCTTCCCCTAGCTCAAAGGTTATGATAAGCAATATTCATGTATACAACTGTATATTAGCCTGAGTTTAGAAAAAAAAAGTTTATTAAAAAAAGTTTCAGCTAAACTTCACTTAAAAAGAAAAAAGAAATTCAAATTTCTATTCCTTCAACCAATTAGTTATTAGAGTACCAAGAATAGCAGAAACCTTCACTAACTCAATTGAAAAGGTTAACTTACCCATATAGCAAGGTTTACTCTTTTCCCACCAATATTTAACTTCTTTGTTAAGAATGAAGCCTAGGAAAAGAGATACATATTAAACAATATTTCATATAAAATGTTTCTTATCCTAAAAACTATAGATGGAAGGATAATCTCATTACAAAATAAGTTATCTGGGAGAAAAAGTAATCATTGAGTTTTTATTAATGACTAAACATTATTTTCACTGAAGACAGAATATTAGTTATATCCTAATACAAAAAAATGGTATTTTGTTTTATGGACACAAGTCATGAAAAAGAAAAACAGAAAACAGTAATTAAATATTTTCCTAGATATTCCCCCTAAAAGTTTTTCTTAGAGCATTTCATTTGATGTCACCTTACCTAATCATTGTAGAAAGAACTAAGAGATTTCTTTTTTTTTTTTAAATGTTTTATTTATTTCTAGGAGAGAGACAGCATGAGTAAGGGAGGGTCAGAGAGAGAGGGAGTCACAGACTCTGAAACAGGCTCCAGGCTCTGAGCTGGCAGTCAGCACAGAGCCCGACGTGGGGCTCGAACCCACAAACCGTGAGATCATGACCCAAGCCAAAGTCGGACGCTTAACCAACTAAGCCACCCAGGCGCCCCAGAACTAAGAGATTTCTAAGTGAGATAAATATTTACAGGTCGTTTACTTAACTGTATGAATACTAATATTATTTGAAATATTCCTGCAATTATTTTATAATTCATTTAATCCATATCTAGTAATTATCTGAAGTACTAATGTCACAGAAATGAAAGGAAATGGTTCCAGCCTTTAAGGAGCTAACAGTATATATATATAGCAGATATAAATACGTAAAGAAAAGTACAGTAGCATGTGACAATTGTTAAAAGGGGAGGGACTTGCCAAGTACACTCTAAACAGAGTACTGAGAAAAGAAGTGTAAAGCCTGCCTGGATGAGTCAAAGAGGGCTTCAGAGAGAAAGTGATGATCTCCCCTTTAGGAGTAATACGGGATTTCCCTGACAGATGGATGAAGCCACTGAAGCCTGAAACATATAACTCCCTCCCCACTGGAGAACCCCAAGGTAGTATGATCAATACCAGAGATGAGACTACAGAAATAGGCAAAGACTGAATGAATTTTAAAAAGTGCTAGGATTCCATGTCTAGATGTAGAGACTTTGTGGGTCTCAATAATACCTGTCCCAAGACTCTAGATATGTATTTTTTTTTAACGTATACTACAGTCATATGTATTTGGGATATGCAGCATATTGCTCTGCATTCCTTTTGTACATTCATAATACATACTGGCACACTAAGATTCTGCCAAAAGAAAACTAACTGCATCTATACAAGCATTTCCCAAACTCATTTGACCTATTTTCTCTTAGAGAAATGACTAATTCATCCTAAGGAATATGTGTTAAGAATAATACTGTTGATGATAGAGAATTATTGAAGAGTTTTTAAGCACTGGGTAATTATAAGATCTATTTCTTAACAGAATGACTCTGGGGTAGGAAAGGACGTTGGACTGGAAAGGACAGGACTGGACCTGGAGACAGGAAGCTATTACAAAGTTGGAGAGAAATACGAAAAGGGCCTGAACCAAGTCCACAAAGATAGAAAAGAGAAAACAGAATCTAGAGTAACTGAAGAGGAAATATAATCAGAATTCAGAGTCAGGTGACATTTAAAAAAAGGAATAGAGAACCAAGTCCAAAGTTATGCAGAGACCATCACATTTAGGTATATCCAGATAAAAGAAAGTACAGAGAAATAAGGTAAAACATAAAAAGCTAAGGTGAATTATTACTGAAGAAGGAACCTAGATTTCAGGAAGTACTTTCTGCTGTATGTACACCAAGGAAATGTAGAACTAAGAAAAAGCCAATGAATTTAGTGATTAACTAAGGAATACATAGATACAAATGGCAGAGCAGAGATCAAATCCAGGAATGCTTTCCTTCAAAACCTGAACTACACTGAAGATATTTTATTAAATGAAACAAAGATTACATAGAAGAGAGAATGCATAAAATAAATGGCAAAATAACAAAACAAATAACTGGGAAAATGAGAAGACCAAATATATGTTTTGATAATGAAATTAAATAAAGGAACTCTCCCACTCATTAGAGCAGAGGAGCTAAGAATATGAACTTTGAATCAGAACTATGGACGTGAACCTTAGCTTTGTGACTTATTAGTTGTGTAATCTACCTGACATCAACCATTTTCATGGTTTCAATATCAATGCTATAAGAAGAAATTCAAAATCTGAATCCCATCCAAATATTTACTATATAGGTCAACTTAAATGCCTCTCTTCTCAGATATATTTAAAATTAAACTGATCTTCCTTTCAAAATTGGCTTTCCATTCCAATGTTAGTACTTTAATCACATTCACAAGTCACCGAGGTTTGGAATCTTAGAAATATTCTAAGTATTCTTCCTCTCCCGACATTCTGTATTCCAACAAAACAAAACAAAACAAAACAAAACAAAACTACCAAAACTTGTCTTCATATTTCTTCTGGAGTTCTCTGACAACCAATCTCATATTATTATAACTTTGGTCTCACCTCACACTCTAGTCAATATGCCAAATTATTTTCCTAAAGTCTCCATGATTAAAAATGAATCTTACCATAACTCATTGAAGTATTCTAGTAAGATATCATTTTTTTTAAATTTTTTTTAATGTTTTATTTATTTCTAGGAGAGAGAGTGTGAGCAGGGGAGGGTCAGAGAGAGAGGGAGTCACAGACTGAAACAGGCTCCAGGCTCTGAGCTGGCAGTCAGCACAGAGCCTGACGCGGGGCCCGAACCCACGAATCGCGAGATCATGACCTAAGCAAAAGTCGGACGCTTAACCGACTAAGCCACCCAGGCGCCCCAGTAAGGTATCATTTTTAATAAGCTTACTTGAACTATATCCCTGCTGGCAGCTAATATCAAAATAACCTTTTTGTGATAAGGTTTGTGGGGATTTCTCAATAAACAAGAATGAATTAGAGCTGATAAAGCTCTATCATTTTCCTTCTTACCATTTCCTTGGAAACTTACCATCACCTTCCCATGATGAGTTTAAGGGACAGTGTTAAGTCTCTCCTAAGGAACCCTGGATATACAATTTTATGGAAAGATACTCATCAATATTGATTTTTTAAAAAATATTTTTATTTATTTCTAGGAGAGAGAGAGAGACAGCGTGAGCAGGGGAGGGTCAGAGAGAGAGGGAGACACAGACTTCGAAACAGGCTCCAGGCTCCGAGCTGGCAGTCAGCACAGAGCCTGATGCGGGGCTCGAACCCACGAACCGCGAGATCATGACCCAAGCGAAAGTCGGACGCCTAACTGACTAAGCCACCCAGGCGCCCCTCATCAATATTGATTTTAAAAGAAAAAAGAAATAGCCTAAGTGTCCCTCCGTAGGCAATTTTTAAAAGGTATACAAAGACAGCCCATCCATACAGTGAAACTCTACATTTTTATTTCTATTTCTATTGCTAATAATAGCTAACAATTACCAAATGTTTACTTTCCACCAAGTACTGTGCTGAGCACTTTTTATAATGTTATTCATAAGCTTCTCCTTTATAAAAGTTAGGGAACCGTAATCTGCAACTAAAAATCTCTGTTATCTTTGCATCCAAGGACCTCCATAATTGTCCATATCTTCCTAAAATAGCTTCTAGTATTTCTCCACTTACTCTTCACCTTATATGGTTCATATACATTCCTCCAATTCCATTTGTCCATCAAATTCCCCTCTAATTTGGAGGTCTTTTTTCTCTATTTGAATCCCATCTATCCACGTCCAGCTCATGACCCATACTTATCTTCCTTGAATTTTTAAGCTTTCTCATACCACTCATACAATCCACAATGAGTTTCTCTATCTTGAAGAATTACAGGGAACCTAATCTTTACCGTATACCATATACTGCCTTGCTTATATTGCAAGTTATCTTTTCATGGGTAGAAGTCTGTCAACTAGACTACATATTTTTATTTAACATGCTCATGATGCTTACAATGAAATGGACAGTATTCTAAGAGGTTTTCTTTTTTTTTTAATTTTTTTTTTTTTTCTAGGAGAGAGAGAAAGACAGCGTGAGCAGGGGAGGGTCAGAGAGAGAGGGAGTCACAGACTCTGAAACAGGCTCCAGGCTCTGAGCTGGCAGTCAGCACAGAGCCTGACGCGGGGCTCGAACCCACGAACCGCGAGATCATGACCTAAGCGAAAGTCGGACGCTTAACCGACTAAGCCACCCAGGCGCCCCTCTAAGAGGTTTTCAATATTAACTCATTTAATTGTCATAGTGTCCTAAGTTGATATAATTATCCAAATATTACAGATGTGGAAACTTAGACATAGGAAGGATAAGTATCTTGCCCAAGGTCACATAGTAAGTGACAGAGTGGGATTTGAAATCCAGGTAGGCTGGCTCCAGACACGACTCATAACCACTATGCTAGCGTATCTCCCACAGTGAGATCTGAGATAGTACTTCTCTTCTGGAGAAGGCAGGAGCCAGTGCTGACACACATATACAATAGACACACAAATACTGTTATTATAGGTATAATGTACCTATCTAGGTACATCTACAATGTACCTAGATAAATCCATGCAGGTAAAACTCAATTTATGTAAGAGATGTGCCCCTAAAAGTCTCCTTATAAATCTAATTATTTTAACTCAAATATCTAATATATTATCCAAGGATCCTCACTAAATCTTTTTTTTCTCCTTCATAATGAACTACTTAGGTCCCAATATATGGAAAATTCCTCGTGTAATATAAATTGTCCCATGTTATATATATCCTAAGTTTTTAATATAGTACAGACATTTTCTTAAAAAACAAATATCTGTTTTAAAAGCAAATATAATTATATTGGAAAATAAAGCTGAAAGATTTTATATAATATTGAGATGGAGTGCAAACTATTTGAAGGCTGACATTTGTCTTATCTTTTTTAATAACCACTTGTGTGAGGCATACTTAATTTGGGCAGACTACTCAGATGCCACTTATAGTTATACTTAATCTGGGGCAGTGGTTC